CAAACACACACCCACCTCCACCCCCAACAAAAAAAAAGTTTTTTTTAACTTTTGTTTTATATAATTTTAAATTTATGTTTTTTCGTTTTTCTGCACACACACACTCCCACAACAAAAAAAAAGTTTTTTCGTTTTGATAATGCAAGTTTATATTGTCATTCATTTTAATAGACTTTATCAATTTATTTATCTGTTTGACCTACCATTTAAAATATTCTGCTTTATTTTCAATAAAGTGAACATCTCTTCTAATGCATATAAGAGTCATCAGGGACGGATGCACGCTTCCTCAAGCGGTGTCATGCGACACCACTTTGTCGGAAAATTTTACTAAATATATATATTAATACTGTACGGAAACGGATAAGTAAGAAAAAATGACACCACTTGACATAAATTGTGCCTTGGTGTGTTTGTTTTGTGCTTGATTTTGTTCTAAGAGGTCAAAGGTTCAAATCTCAACTAGCACATTTTTCTTTTGTAAATATTTGAGAGAGCCTTTGTAGTTAAAAATTGTGATTAAGTAGAATTGAATTCAAAATCTTTTTTAACTTAAGACTCAACAAAACCAATAAACTAAGGTTATTTCTTGTCTAAAAGTATGATAATCAAAGTAACATTCCAGTTCTTCTATAAATTTCGACACCGCTTACACATGCCCGACATAAGATTTAAACTACTTGCACATGTTGAATGCTTGTTTTTTGTGAAAGTATCAAATCCTTTTTTTGTTGTATGATAATATTTTCTGCAAGCTGAAGTATAGGATACATTTATGACTGTGTGTTGGTTGAGTGCATAAGATCCTGCAAGTCAAAGTATAGGATACATCTATTATCATTATTCATTTCCTTTTCAAAAGTATTTATGAACTCTTGAGTGTCTCCTCAGCTAGAAAAAGCGCCATCTTCCTTTTCCCTCATGTTCATAGTTGTATGTTGATATAAGAACTCAATTCTAGAGGATAGATTGGCTCAATTATTCAATAATACTTTGTTTAAACTCACCGATGCTTAGTCAAAATTTCTAAAAAGTGCAATACGTTTCTCCTTTGAACTTCTCAAGCATAAGTTGACCACCACTCCTATCATTACCATGCCTAATTGGAGCTTACCCTTTGAGCTCATGTGTGATGCGAGCGATGTTGAGGTTGGGGAGGTTTTGGGTCAAAGAGTGAACAAAATTTCATCCGATGTACTATGCGAGCAAGACAATGAATGATTTGGCCATACATTTTGGCAAGTTTTTTTTCAATTTTTTTTGAAAATATTGTTTGTCCATAGATTAGTGATCTGTTTTTGAAAAATTTCTGAAACTATTTTTCAAGTTTCCAAAATCTAGTTTATGGTAGATTTTGGGTGAAAATGAAGTTCCTACTCATAAAACTTTAATTTTTTTTCAAATAAAATGCATGTACAAACATAATTTCAACTTCAAAAAATTATTTTTCAAAACTATTTCAAAAATTATTTTTTCAAGTTTCAACTCAATTTATGTCCAAACGCTAGCTAAGTTTCAATCGTGCTTGGTAGAACATAGTTCTGTTGATTCTTATTTTGTTGACCTTCTGAAATAAAATAACAGAAGACTAGCCATTTTTCTCCTTTGCTTTGCATTGATCATCCTAAATTTAGCTCAAGAATGTAATTGTTCAACTTTATTCCGCAAATGAATATATACAATATGAAGTGTATTATGTCAATTATAGCCTGTTTGGCCAAGCTGGAGAAATCAGCTTATTTTTGAGAAGTGCTTTTGAAAAAAGTACTTTTAGAGAGAAGCAGTTTGTGTTTGGCTAATCAGTCTGAAAAGCACTTTTGAGAAATAATTTGTGTTTGGCCAAGCTTTTTAGAAAGTGCTTTTAAGTGTCAAATTACGAATAAGGACATGAATAGATTTACTTAATAATTAATATTATAAGTAAATAAATAATATCAAAATTTTGTTATTACATGCAATAATTAAAAAAAAATTCATTTTATTTAAGTAAAATATGAAAATAAAATTTAAAAGTACTTAATTCTTTTAATATAAGTTAAATATATTAAAATTCCTTCAACAAATATAAAAGCATTCACCCCTAAAGTCACTATATATTAGAAAGTTTTCCTAAAAATAAGAAGAAATATTTATAAATTAATATCCTAAATATTAGGTTTAAGGGTTATTTTGGTATATACTATATTTTGTTAAGGGTATTTTAGGTAAGAAGAAAAGCCAAAACTGCTTCTGCTTCTGCTTTTGGAAAGAAGCTACTTTTTTCTGCTTCTCTGAAACTGCTTTTGCTTCTTCCCAAAAGCACTTTTTTTTTTCCAAATAAGTTTGGCCAAACACCTCAAATTAGGAAAAAAAAATACTTTTGGAAAAAAAAGTGTTTTTTTCCCCTTAGGTCTTAGAAAGTCTATGTGTCGAGAGGCATGATTCCCCTTTTTATCAAGATCTAAAAGGAACTCAAGCGCATCATTTTCGTAGCTTTATAAACTTAAAGCACCAAGCGCTATTGGAAATGCAACATCGCCTAGAGTTACGAGAAAACTCTAGAGTTATGGAAATATGTTGAGAAGCTTGGCCAAACAGGTTATTAGTCAACTTGATGGTATTGCTTTCTTTGTTACGGACCTCTTTTGGCCTTAAAATTTTTACTAATGACGTCTGGTTTAAAAAAATGGGAAATTTCGTGGAGTTTTTTTACTTCAGAAAAAGTTAATGAAATTTTCACTTATTTATGCCTAAAATTTGAAATGACAATGATTTCCATTTGCTAGCAGCGGAAGAATCCAAAACCACAAGGCTTAGCCGGAGGAGAAGAGCATCTGAGCATGAGATACAATTTCGACTTGTCGGAACCTCGCGACGCCGACGTCGGTGGTCTTCAATCAGCAACGCCAACTTCAGCTTCAACACCCAAAGAAAAACTGGAATGGCTATCCTTACAAAACCACCCTGTCTTTTCTGCTCCCAACAGGGATGGAGCCGCCCATTCCTCCAACTTCACAATACCTAAAAACCTTTTGGCGTGGGACGGAGCTTCTCGTCTCTACTTTTGGGACTCTTACAAAAGCTGTCTACATCGGCTCTCCGTTCGGTTGGGCGAACCAGACCCTACTTTCGTCCTTGCCGCTTCTCCCTCTAAGGTCCCTACTTATTCTACATATATTCACGAAATGCGTATTCCTTCTTCATTGTTTGCATTTTAGTATTCTCGGAAAAGTGAGCATGAGAAACTTTAAATTAGGGCTGAATTGAGGATTATGACATTCTCCTAAGATTGTTCTAGTAACATAGGGAATGCAGCTCCAATGTTTTAAATACAACTCTTCCCGAACCCCCAAAAAAGAGAAAAGAGAAAAACTAAAGAAAAAGAATTTTATACGTATGGATTGTGTCAAAGTAACTAAGCATGATGAGATGCCGCGCAAGAGAACGCGATTGGAGCAAGATGGATATAGATGATTCATATACAGACCCTGAATAGTTTGTGATAGAGGCTGAATTGATTGCTATATGAAAAAAAATGAGATTATTATAAAGATATGACACTTAAGCTAGACTTATCGAACATGGGGAATAGAACCTTGAGACTGTTTGTGATCCTTGTGAACTTTAGAACCTGTGGCTGTGGGACTTATCAACACACTATGCTTCTTTTTTCACTTTTTCCTGAGTTAAGTCATAGGATTATTTCTCCAAAGTTCAATGAGCTAGAGGGATCGCTCCTTCGAGTTCCTCAGACTTTGTTGTTGAAATGTTGATTTTCCTTATTCAAAAGTAACATAATAAAGCTGAACAATTTGTATTATATGTTAGAATAAACTTCAGCATGATCTTAAACTATTATACCTCTTGTTTCTTCAGGTTCAGCCTTACAGGTACTGCCTAGTTGAGACATATTTGAACTTCTCTTACATTATTCTTTGATGCTCTTGGCATTTTATCTGAAAGAGGAAATTATGCTACTTAACTTGGCTTGTATTTTATTTCTTTATTTAATTTAAACAGATCATTCTTGGGGCTTTGACTTTGAGATAGTTGTGATATCAGATTCATTCTGCTAGACAATAGTTGATCTGACAGTTATGTTCACTTGGCTAGCTGAACTGTCATTTATCTACTGCACACCAGAATACCTGTTCTACTAGACTTCTACAGAGAATGCTTTCCTCTTCCTACTTTCGAAGCTTCTTTTTCTTGTTGAGCAACGTTAAGAACGACATGCATAGGACAAGAATTGAAGACTAACACTCCTATCCGTGTTATCAGGTCACTAGTCCATTACAACAACAACAACAACAACAACAACAACGGTCTGGGAGAGTAATGTATATGTAGACCTTACCCCTACCCCATCTGGAGACTGTTTCCGATAGACCCTCGGCTCAGCACCACGAACAAGACAAAAGAGACAATATATCAGTACCATCAACAGAAACCATAAAAATAGTAACAACATTATAAGAACTGGAAAATAGTTGAAACGTAATAACAATAACTAGTAAATAAGGCCCGGTGCTATAAAAAATGGAAGAATAGTGTGAACACAACATTAACCACTAGCAGTCTAAGACAAACCCTATCAGACTAACCTCACACCCGGAACGAAGTAGAAAAATGCTCAACTATCTCCTAACCTACAACCCTAATGCTCGACCTCCACACCTTCCTATCAAGGGCCAAGTCACTAGTCCATTGATGATATATAAAACATATCTGTTCGCTCTGATTGCTTTTTTATTTTTTTTGTTGAAGTGCATTGGTACTACTGCCTGATAGCAAGCTACTACTGCTTTAAGCTACACACTTGGTGATGCTGTTTGTTGTTTAGGTACTGCAAGCTGATATGCAATTGGATTTTGAGGTTCAGCGAATTTCCATTAATAGAAATGGATCAGCACTTTTCCTAGTTGGCTTGGATGGTTTATACGTCATGTATCTCTATGGGAGGACTTCGACGAAAGAAAATACAGTTATATGCCGGTATAACTTCCTCCTTTTGATTTTGCTAGGTTATGTTTTTTTTGGGCTCCAAAGTGTTAAAACAATAGTGTTATCAACGTCATTGTCCTGTTGATGCTTGTTAACAATTTTTCTTCTGAAGAGTACATTCTCCTTTATCTTCGAAAGCGTCGTGTGTATTTAATCTGATGCAATATTATTGCTCGTTGCATGAAAGAAGTTATGACCTTTCTGGTATAGCTATTTAAAGCCACTGTTCCTTTGTTTTTTTTCCAATCATTTGAAACCTTATGGCTTAACATTTGGAAGTAGCATTGGTTCTTAAAAAGTGATTTTGATCTTGCATATGTAATATTCCCCCTTTGTTTTTTCTTTATTTTATTTGTTTATTTATGTTTTTGAAATTTATCTTTCATAAAGAGGCCTGAGAATCCGTAGTTACATGCTGATGTCTCGTCTGATTCAAAGCGGTTCAGATTTCATGTGACTGCAACTAACAGTAATACCATCTGTTTTTTCTAGCCATTGCTAATCTAATAAAGAGATTGATATGAATTCACACATGGCTCCTGAATCTTTGTAAAAAATGGTTCCTGGGATTCTTGTGAATTAAGAAGAAAGTGAGTGAGTTAGGAGCTAAAAAACGGCAAGTGATTGCAAAATTTGGTTGTTGGGGTTTTCTGGTGAAAAATAGGCTTATTCTTAATTTGAAATCGCAGTGTTTGAATATATCAAATGATGGTATACTTATCCCCATATGCCGTGAATGAGCAGTGATAGCATCCTTATATGAATTCACAGTCTAATGCATTGTGGATAAGCCGATTGGTCTGAGGTGCAGCAGGTGATGCTTGGTTTAATAAAGGACATGTTACATAAGTGGGCTTTTTGAAAGAAGAGAAGACGCAGAGCATATAATGTTGCCACCCTAGCTATCATGTGGATCTTGTGGAAAGAGAGAAATGAGAACATCTGAGGGGGTATAAAAAGATTTTGCACATTTTAGAAATAGCCTATTGGTTTTAGTTAGTCTTTGGTGCACCCATGAGGTTCTTATTGTGTAAAAGTTTGAGTGTCATTTATGGAGAACCATATTCTGTGTTGGTTCTTCCCTTTTTGATACATCACTTGTATACAGGAGTTATCCTGCACTTAACAAAATAATTTACTTTATTATAAAATAAAAACTTCAAAATTTCTGGTTTATTTTCATTTGTTTGTATTTAATATAAATAAAAAACTTTTATAGGGTCAGAAGGCAGGTTATTTGTTTCGACCTCCTAATTTACATTCTATTGTGTAAATAGCAATATCAGGAAAATTCAAGTGAAGAAGAGTTTTTTTCTAAGAGTGAAAAATATTTATTACTGTAATCCTTGAACAGACCAGTCAGATTATCCTCTCACCTGTATTAGGAGATTAAATGAAAACAGACATGATGAATTCCTTCTTCAGTAACAAGATTTGATGGTAATTAAGTTGCCTGATAATTAGTTGCGGTGCACTAGAGGTCACATTGAATGTGTTCCTTTCCTTTTGTCGGTTGCAGGACAGTTTCAGTTGGTTCAGAGATTTACTTTGACAAAAACAACTCAATACGCACGTTGCAGGTTTGTTGGCACCCTTACAGTGACACCCATCTTGGAATCCTCTCTTCTGATTCGGTTTTCAGGTACTTGTTTCTTCATTGTCAATTTGTATTAGGACTATTTGATGATAAAGTTCTCAACTGGTATATGTTAAAAACCTGTAAAGCGTTTTTAAATCTTTGTTTGTGTAGACATCTTAACTGGATTAGTAATCATTTTGCAGTAAAAACTGTGGTTGCTTCCCCGTGATCCTCATAAAGCATGGTTTAATGCATATAGAGTCCTACCTAACACCTATTGGATATCTTATACAATTGATGGTTACTTTATCTACTACTTAAGGATTGTTAGCATGAGCAGAAGGCACTTCTCTTGGATTTCCTACTGCTTGATCAGTTTTAGTTACTAAAAGTGGCATATATTCTGCTCCTTGTTTCTTTTGATGAGGTGAATTATGGTGTTTTGCATCTGTAAATATGCTTAATCACTTTTTTTTTCCTATGAAGTAAATGATTTAGACCGAATCTTGAAGTTTAATTATTTAACGCAAAGTTCCCAAGAGTAAGTTTCTCTTTGATATATGCTTCATTTTTCTGATATGGTTCCAGTAAAATTATTGGAATTTGGCACCTAATGATGTGGCCCAGTGGTCAATGAAGCGGATGCAAACCTTGGAGATCAAGGTTCAAATCCGAGCATAGACAAAAAAATACTAGGTGATTTCTTCCCATATGCCTAAGCCTTGGTGGATAGATTTGCTAGGTATCTGTGCTGCTAGAAGGTAGATCTCTGGTGGAATAGTCCAGGTGTACACAAGTTGTTCCAAACACCATCATTATTAAAAAATTTGCTGAAATTTGGTTAAGATGGTCCTGGTTGCCCTGACTTGGGATAGTCAATTAGTGTTTCTGGACAAAGACTTCGCTTAAAATAATCTAATCAATTAGTCTTTTTTAAGATTTTCAATTTGTTTAGTGGTTACTGGTCATTTGAAATGCATATGGATGCCTCAAGGACAAAAGCCATGGCTGGTTTCGAGACGAGGAAGGAGGCATCAAGATGGCTCATTCCCTCATCTTGTCTCTGGACGCGAAAAGGCGTATAGGGATGAGTCATTCCAAGACACATCCTATCCTAATATGAGAGATTATTTAATTATAGGGGAAGATAGTATACATAATAATGGAAGAGAGTTTGCCATATTAAAAGAGACTATTATGCACTTAAAACGAATTACCAAGCTACAAATGATGTGTCACGTCATGTTGCTGAAGAGACACTACTAGTCATGTTGCTTCCAATCATTTGTTCTGTGAGCTGCTCCTGCTCAAGTACTGAGTATACCAAAGAAGTTGTGGAGTAATTTAGTTGTTCGGTTTCTCTAGTGGATACCAAATTAAATGGATATTCGGGTGCAAACAGGACTGAAACTAAGATACAGGAGGACCTCGCTTATTTTTTTAACTGTATTTATGAACCATTAGATAGGCTGACAATAGACAAGTTTGAAGGAGAATGAAGGATAGAGAAGAATCTCTTTATGATAGAGGAGAAGGGGCTCTGGGTATGTTAGTTTTGACTATTACTTCATGTTTTGGGAGTTTAACTGATATGAAACCTTAACTATTATTAAAAGTTCTCTCTGTATAAAATAGATGCCATAAGCTTTGTTATTCACGAGTTCCTATGATCAAATTAATCTACTTTACCGTTGACTTTTTTTGGGGGGCTTAAATGACGTGATTCTTAACTATGAACAATTCTTTATTTGTATTTGTATAAAGTAGATGCTAAAGCTTTGTTATTCATGAGTTCCTATAATCAAATTAATCAAATTTGTCTTTGACATTTGAATTCTGAATAAAGACATATTACTTGTAAAATGCCTACATAATCTTTGACCTCCTCACACTGCCTAAGTTTTGATTTAAAATGAAGTTTGCTTATCAAAAAAATAGAACAATTTAAAAGGAAGTTTCTTTGTTTACTCTTAAACTCTTTCTTAGCCAGGCATACAAGTACTCCCCAAGTTGCATGTTAGTCATACTTTCTCTGCTGGTTGACCCTTTTTTCTTTGTAAGCAAGATGGCCATATTCAGAAATCACTGCAAAATTTCTTAACCTATATTTATTGATAACATTTAGGGTAGCAAGATGGCTAAAGCTGTTGAGGAAGGTACACTGTACCTATCTGCCTGCCTACACTACCTCCCTCTTGGTTTAATTATTGATACGAAATACCACCAACATATCTTGAATTTGCCACATCGTTGAGTGATCTTTAAAAAGGAAGCCGGCCTTCACTATCTTCCAATCTTCAAAGGACAGTGGGACTAAAAGTATGCCAAGCTAGCTTCATTAATCTTAGAAGAAAAAGCACCAGCTGAGTTTTGAGTTTTCCGACAAAAGCCTTAAGTGCTGATTGTAGGATAAGTGGCATGCCTATGGCCTTAAGAGATTGAGGCCTAAGCAATAAGAATGGCTGTTGGGAAGGTTTTGTTTGGTCTTTTAGTGCTACATGGTTGTTGGGAGCTGTCAATATATATGCCACTTCCACATAGAAAAAGAAGACTTGTGGCGAGGACTTCTTCATAGAAAACATGTTATTAAATTGGCTTACTTGAACATTGATTGTGAAACATCTATTGAGTATTTGAACTAACCGAAAGAGGTTTTCGTTTGTTCTGTTCTTCTTTTGGGTGCACGCCATCATGTTTGCTTTTCTGTCAATGATATATCTCTAAACTAAATTGTTCCCTAATTTGGACAAGTAGGCCTTCTAAAACAAAGAGTTATGGAGAACACCATGCTGTTTTTTGGTCTGCTACACGAGTCTAAATGTACTTGTGGCCATCTGAGAGCTCTCTAAATTGTCTAAGTCAGATGCAATACATCATTAGCATATTCGTTCAACTGCTGATCCTTTTGGATATGGTGAGCTGAAAAATGTTAAGAAGTAGCAACAATCCCAAAGATTGTAGATGAACAAGGACAACCACCTTACTTTAGGAAGTGAGCTGTCAGTAATTTCACCCATATGGTTGCTCATTAAGACAAATTGATCATGCTCTTTCATTTGCAGTAGTACGAGTTGATAGAAATTGGAACTTAGAAGACTTGGTTCCATTTACATTTAGAGCCAAAACCTTGGTTTCATTGGAACCATGTTATTGCATAAAGCGACACTGCCTAGACAGTAACTTCTTCTCCCCTTCACTTCTCACTGGGTGTGCATGTGCAAAGGATCACTTTTTGGGGCTTTTACTTGTCAGAGCACGTAGAACTGGTGTGTGGCATGATCTTTTTGTTATCCAATGGCAGAGTCATCTTTTTTTTTTTTTTTTTTTTTTTTTTTTTTTTATTCTCTACGACTTTCTTAACATATCAGATGCAGGTTAAATCACTTGCTGATTGGAGAATTATGTGTTATTTCTTTTTATCAACAAATTACATAGAGCTATATTTACTGATGTTCCTCCATATAGAGGGTTTATGATCTGTCGTCGGCCCTTGGTCAGCCAGAACAGGAGTATTATTTGCAGCCTGTGGAGCCTGGCAGCTTGCACAATGCCACATCAATCTGCCCCGTCGATTTTTCTTTTGGGGGTGATCATTTGTGGGACAGGTTCAGTGTAAGTTCTATTCTTTAACACTTCTCTGTTATACTGTAGACCTAGTGCTTATATGCTCAGGTATTCTGTGGTGATGCCCTGATGACAAATTCTGGGGACTTGATAGATTGAACTTCATCAGTGATTCATAATCTTTTAGCTATATGGATGTGTTGGATGATAAGAATAGAATATGATTCAAAGCTATATCGATATTTTAGGGATAACTATATAACGAACAATTCAAGTTGAGCAAGACCAAGACAGAATACTTGGAGCGTAAGTTCAGTGGCGAGACTCAAAGAGGGGAAGGGGAGGTGAGGCTGGACTCGCAGGTCATTCCGAGGAGAGGGAGTTTTAAGTACCTTGGGTCTATTATTTAGGGGGATTGAGAGATTGATGAAGATGTCACACATCGTATTGGGGCGGGATGGATGAAATGGAGACTCGCTTCCGGTATTTTATGTGACAAGAAGGTGCCACCGAAACTTAAGGGTAAGTTCTACCGAGTGGTGGTCAGACCAACGATGTTGTATGGGGCTGAGTGTTGGCCAGTCAAGATCGCTCGTCCAGAAGATGAAGGTAGCAGAGATGAGGATGTTGAGATGGATGTGCGGGCACACCAGGTTAGATAGGATCATAAATGAGGTTATTCGCGACAAGGTGGGTGTGACCCCTATCGAGAACAAGATGCAAGAAGCGCGGCTTAGGTGGTTTGGTCATGTGAAGAGGAGGAGCACGGACGCCCCGGTGAGGAGGTGTAAGAGGTTGACATTGGAGGGCCTACTGAGAGGTAGAGGTAGGCCAAAAAAGAGGTGGGGAAAGGTGATTAGGCAAGACATGGCGCAACTTCAGCTGACCGAGGACATGACCCTTGATAGGAAGGTATGCAGGTTGAGGATTAGGGTAGTAGAGTAGGTAGTCTAGAGTGTTCATAACAATAGTATTGGCACACAATTTCGCTTTCAGTTGGTAGTAGTTTTTTATGACTAGCCGTTGTTTTTTTTCATTGTTGATCACCTTGATGTCTTGTTGTTTCTATTATGCTTTTATATGGCTTTTTGGTATTGTCCCTTCTTGTCTACATTTTTATTAATGTGGTGCTTATGCTTTCCTGAACCGATGGTCTATTGGAAACAACCTCTCTATCCTCACAAGGTAGGGGTAAGGTCTGCTTACACACTACCCTCCCCAGACCCCACGGTGTGGGATAATACGGGTTATGTTGTTGTATATAATGAACAAGGTTTACACTTCCAGATAGATTGACTAATATATATAGGGTAAGCAAATTTAACGCCCATTATCTAACATCTCCAGGTAGCGGTGGTTATTGATCAAGTGGTTTTACTGTCACTAAATTTGTGTGGTAAAGTTGAGTTTTTGCTTTATTTTCTGCAGGTTTTTATCTTGTTTAGTGATGGCTCAGTTTACATCCTATGTCCTGTTGTTCCATTTGGAAGGTAATTTACCGGAGATCACAGTTCCGCTAATCTTAAGCTTTTGTTCAGAGATACTTATGGGCAGATAAATTTAATTTTGAATTGATGGTTGTGAAGTAATATGAAATTATTTTAAAGGTCTTTATACAAAATATATTTCCATAATTTTCTGACTTTTCTTATTCTTGCTCAATTGTAAAATTGATCTGCTGCTAGGTAGTACTTTTTAAGTTTTTTTTTTTTTTTGATAGGCTTGTCTGTCTATATAAGAGATCTCATAGACTATTGTCTTCCCTTACTAGGAATTATTTCCCCTCCCATATTTCTCGTTTCATTTTTTCCTCAAGACTTCTAATTTGAAAATGTTTTTACTTATTCCTTGTGTCTGCTATTTTTAGCCTATGCAAGAGGCAGGTCGCAATATTTCACTTGATCTCACTAAAGTAGATTCTTTCCATTTGAACAGTGTGTACAAATGGGAATCTATACTGGAGTTATATAGTGATGCGCATGTGTTTGGCCTGAAATCATCAAATTCAAAAGCTGTGAAAAACTCAAATTTGGCAATCTCTTGGTTGGAAGCAACATTTCCTGAACTAGCCCGGAAAGAAGTTCATGCAGAAAATGCTTCTGTACTTAGAGCTCAGCCTTATGCTTTATTTGATGCGTCAATCTCATTGCAGGTACTTTACTAACTAACAGTTCTTATGTTCTTGAGTATATCCAGCTGGTCCGTATCCACCAATATCCACTTTGACTTGCTTAGATGGATGAGAACCATCGTAGAAGTTAAGGGAATTTAATCTCTTTTGCATTATGGCTTGATTCATTTTTCTTTAATTATTTTCTCTCTCTCTTGTTATTCAATGCCATATGTGAATATTCATGAATATGAACTGTCAGATTTGATTGCCCTCATTGATATGCTGTGTAGCATGCTGTCCTTCCTTACAGCAGGAACAGGCTACTTATGTAAACATTATTTTTTAATATCTTAATTATGTTTACCGTGCATTTTAGATGTAGCAGTCATAAGTTGGACTTCATCGGGCACCATTTATACCTTGAACTTCTTCAGAGACCAACATTAATTTGATTTTCAGATTTTCAGTGATTGAAGATATGAAGGAAGAATGCATCTATGTTTACCTTGTTTTTATTTTTAATTTGATGCTAGTGGCTCTTGTTGTGTCATTATTACTTCCATTATGTCTGTAGTGCTATGCCTTTGTTACTGCTTATTGTTATTGCTTTTCTTTCTGCTGTCTGGTTATCACATTGTTGGTGTTATCTTTCTGACTTCCTTTGACGTTACAGCTTCACTGCCCTTTACCATCGTCGAGAGCCGAGGGTCTATTAGAAATAGCCTCTCTACTCCTCCGGAATAGGTATAAGGCCTGCGTACACACTATCCTCCCCAGACCCCACTTGTGGGATTTCACTGGGTCGTTGTTGTTGTTATTTTTAATCGTTCTACTAATATGAAAGAGGTAAAAAATGGCTCTGATTGCTGATTGTAGTAACATGGCACCATTAAATATTGTAAGCGGTAGTATTGTTAAAAACAGAAGATTGGTTGATACTGATCGATATGGGAGAACAAAATAGTTTTCTACCTTTCATTTGAGCATACACGGAGGAAGAAGTACTAGTAGTTCTTGTTGAGTCTCCCACATCGGCTAAGGGATGGGGGACTTGGTCTCCTTATATGGCTTGTGCAATCCTCACCTCTTGAGCTAGCTCCATATCTTATCATGGTATCAGAGCCGGACCCACCCCAATTCTTTGTTTCACCGATGTTGGGCCCCCATATTATATTGTCCACGCTCCAGTTGACAGGCTTGGGCGTGCCGGGGTTGTCGAGTCTCCCACATCGGCTAAGGGATGGGGACTCGGTCTCCTTATATGGCTTGGGCAATCCTCACCTCTTGAGCTAGCTTTTGGGGTTGAGTTAGGCCTCCATATCTTATCAGTTCTTTCTAGCTGGATTGCTCTAGCAAGAAGCAAGATACAGTAGAAAGTCTTTTCCGTCCGTCCTTATTATTTAATATATTGATTTTTATGGGTAATGTCTTGTTGGATGAGACACCCTTTTTCTGTCTCAGTTGCTTGTGTATCGGTGAAGGATGCCGACTAGGACAAGTCTTATAAACCTTAGTATAAAGATTGCAGTGGAAAACACGGTGAAACAAATTAAGGCCGTATTTGAACGGAAATAGCTCCTATTCTTCTCTTCATGTATCTCCTTGGAAAAGCAATCCACTGAACTTTTATTTCTTCGTGTGGAGGGCCTCATTTCTGTTCTCTCTTATTCTTTTTATGCTGAAATAAATACTACTATAATCTTGCATTAATGAGCTGTGTTGTCCTTTTTTCCTGTTTCTTGATGTGAAAAATCCGTGTGAAATTTTAATTTCACGTGGTAACATCTAAGTTTGGCTGCACTACTATTCCTTATCTCACTATGAAGGAAAAGAAGTTATGTCCAGTGATTACAAAGCAAGCCACTTTATTTGCTCTGGCTTAATCTCTTGGTGGAATCGTTTTTAAGAAAAGCTCATTTATTTTTCTTTCCAACTATATAGCACCTTTTTAACACTGGCTTTACTTGCAGGGGCCTTTACGTAAAGTAAGTCACGTCGTTGAAGAAGACTCAGTTCATCCTCAAGTTTGTGAAGGGCGTGCTGTCAGTTTTCTTTATGATTTAGTTAGCAAAGATTCTATTGTCGTAACTGCTTGGAGTGGTGGCCAGTTGCAAATTGATGCTTTAGCTGATGAAGTACAGCCGGTTTGGAAGGTCGATAGCCCACCTCGGGTTTGTCTGGATTCAACTGATAGTATAGTTGGCCTTGCAATGATTTGCGAGTCATTGTCCAGTGACACCTCTATTTTGAAGCTTGACCTGCCACCTGATCATACCTTATGGTTGGGACATCCACCTCCTCTTTTGAGGCTGGCTATTGTGGATTTAGCTCTTCCCAGAAGAAGTGGTTCCGTTATATCAATGTTTGTTGATCCCCTTATTTCAGAAAGAATATATTGCCTTCATGATGGAGGAATTGATTCAGTAGTGTTGCACTTTTTACCTTTCACTAATCAGAGTAGTGGCAAAGAAGACATGATGAGAAGTCCCTCTGTGCATCCCGTTCTTAGCACTTTCCAAGGAGAAGCATCCTCAGCCTCCCCACTTTGTGGTTTCTTGGCTCTGTCAGATTCTTTTGGAGATTCATGGATTGTGGGTCTTACCCCTTCTAGTGAGTGTATAGTGTTGGAGATGGAGACCTGGAATACACTGGTTCCCCCAATTATTGATAAGGTTGACAAACTCATAGACTCAGAGGGGCCAAAAGATACAGATATTCCTACTATCATAAGCAAAGAGCTCCTTACTGGGCCCAGGGTAGTTCTTTTGCCCCCTTCATCGCCTCATTTACGCTCCGTTGCTGCTGATTCAATTGAAGGCCGATCAACACTTCATCAGTATTTCAAGCTTTTTCATGAAAATTATGTGGAATATGCCCACAAGGTAACTTTGTGCTGTCGTTACGCTACAATCTTGATAGCAGTTGTGACTTTTTCCTGCTGGACTTCTCTTTTTAAGTTGGATTTTACCTTATTATCTATCTGATCCTTCAAATTTTCCATTCTTTTGGGGTTTCAGTGGGGTGTCTGTGTCTGTGTGTGTCTGTTTGTCTCTCTTATTCTTTGTGCTAGTGAAAGTTCTGGTGGCAATTTGTTTTTATGAAATAATTTTTCTGTCAGTTTAAAAATGCGTTTCACCATTAACTATCTTTGACATGTCTGATTTCTTAAAATTTCTCAAAATTGTGCATTTTCTTTTTCGGATATTGGAGTAGCTTTTTGTAGTTGAACTTCTATTTGCCCTGATAGATGTATCATGTATTTCATAGTTTTGGAATGTTCATCATGCTATTTTTTCGAAGGTACAGGATGAGTCTGGAGAAAGAAACTCATCCTTCTCTCTAGATTTCTGGCAATACACTGTCTCCAACCAACTTTATTTCAAAAAAACAAAATATCTTTCCAAATCAAGTAATCGACAATATCAGACAGTTCTGAACCATCTTTAAATGATCAGAAGTTGAAACCAATCATCCTGAAATGCTAAAAAACCTTCAACGGTTCAACCCACACCCTTTCACATCCTCTTTTAGCAAATTTTGGCAAGTGAATTTAGATTTAAGTTTGGATTGCTTTTCTTAGTAACTTAAACTTAGTATAGGATGATGAGACTGGAACATAACTTAGGTAACAATGGAAAGGAAAATTTCATCTGCTGTTGGATTAAAGAGTTCCCAAACGATAACAACGAAAAATCTGGCAAGATTCGAACTCATTAAGAGGCGGCGAAAATTTATGAGCAGCAGGTGATGGATAGACAATGTAAGGTGGATCTGCAATGTCTTAAAACTAGCTTCTGAAGGGGTTGGTCGAGAGGATTATGATGGGAGAGAGTGGTTCATAGAAAGAAAGAGGCTTTATCTCAAACAGTGGCCTCCAACTATCACATGCAGTTGGAACACAGAGGAATCAGAAATCAGAACAAGTCTGATCAGATTGGTGGTCGTTCTGCATCACTTAAGGATTGGAAATTTTTTCCAAACAATTGAACCTACATTCGAAGGATTTCTATGTTTGGATACTAGAGAAACGCCCTCTCAGATAGGTGAGAATTAGAGTAAGAAAATCGAGAAAAGGATTCTGCACCCATTAACATAGAGGTGGGAAATTTGATCCTCTAAATTCCAATTTGGGTTAAGTTCACAATAAGAGTGAGAAAAAGCCATTATAAAAAATAAAATAAAAAATAGCATGGTCAGATATAGTCAATGGCTGAACTCTGTTCTCTGGTGAGGTCCTATGGCTAGCTTTTGAAAAGTTGGAAGTTGCAAATGATCATAGTTTTTGGAACTAACAAGATGCTGGCCTAAGATATGCGACCTGCTATCTCTTAACATTTCATACAAACGAAAGCGGGGATGCACAGTTGCCCCTTTTTTACTCTTAATAAAGGAAAAGCTGATAAACTGGAAAGATGAGTAATGAACCAGATTAAAATAGATTAAAGAAAAGGAAAAGGGTAAATATAAGAAAAAGGCTGGGATAGCAAGCAGCAAGCCGAATGGTAAGGCCTATACTGACTCCTGCAAAACAAAATGCAGAGCTCAAATTAAACCTGATATGCTTATGCCCAATCACTTGAGATAACATATACATACATAGGTAGAGATAGTGGACTCGATGGTTCTAGAGGTGGAATTAGTGCCTTGTTTGAACCTCCTATGCTATCACAAATCTCTAATAATTTTGCTCTAATTGAGGAGGAGCACAATGTGGAATTGAAAAGTGCAAGGAAAATTCGTCAATGAGGACTCTCCGAAGGTCCTAGCGAGAAGGAAAAATGTTAGCAGAGCCTATGGAGGTCCTGATATGGCTTTGAGAAATCTGAACCAATTGCGGTTCGGATCTTTGACATTCCTGTGATGGTGTTATTACTGTTGATTTACCAGCATGTATCGAGAAGTCTGGGGGCAATAGGTGTCAAACTGGGTCAAAGAGTGCTTACTGAAGCTCAATAAGCAACTGGGAATGCAGTTTCTGAGTTTCAAAAAAGAAGCGATGGACGTGTTCCTTGAGTGGCTTGTTTGGGCTGGATAGCTAGCCTTAAATGAAGCATGTCTCATGCAAGACACCCTAGCTAAAAGAGATGTTGCTACATGCAAAAAAATGGCAGCCCGGTGCACTAAGCTCTTGCTATGCGCGGGGTCCGGGGAAGGGCCGGACCNTTTCAGTAATTTTTTGTTAAATTTCGACGCAGGTCACTCCTGTTATCTAGGGTGTGTAAATGGGAAATCGGTGCAAGTTGGGCGGAAAGTATGTATTAACCTTTTTCTGGCTTTAACCTTCTCGTATATGGAAGTGACTTATGTTTTGTGTAATGCAGACAGATATAGGGGAGTGGAGTTGGATGCTCTGTGCTCTTCTATTGAAGCAGTAAATGCCAGGTTGAAAAGATTCACACATTCTCCACAGGCCAATCGATCAAATGAACAGCGACAATTATCAGTGAGGAGAAAGAGCCATGTTCGGGAAAATGAAATGTCACTGCTTAAAGCATCAATTGAAAAGCTCTCACTGGTGAACATTGAAAATGCAAAGAAGGTTAAAGTAGTTGAATCTGCATTGAAATGCCGTGAAATAGGCACTTCATGAGTTATTCCCCTCAACTATATATTTAGGATAACATGTCGATTTTTGCTCCTGACGAGAGGGGTTGCTCTGATGGTAAGCAACCCCACTTCCAACCAAGAGGTTGTAGTTCGAGTCACCCCAAGAGCAAGGTGGGAAGTTCTCGGAGGAAAAGATGTCGAGGGTCTATTTAGAAACAGCCTCCCCAGACCCCACTAGTGGGACTATACTGGGTTGTTGTTAATTTTTGCTTCTGATCCGATAAAGTCTATATATATTGTTGGCCCCCCTTTTTTAATCTTTTTATATTATTACTATGTTTTTTTTATTAACTTTGATCCTCTAGAAGATACTTAAGCATAATTCAAAGAATATTCCAAATTATGATTGTTAATAAATTATTATCCTTATCTTGAACAATATACTTGTTAAAACCTCATGCTATGTCCGGGAAAGGGCCGCTTGTATCCCAGGGACGTGATGGAGGCAGCAACCTACAATGATGCAAGTATGAGTGACTGATTTCACAGCTCGAACTCGCGACTAATAGGTTATACGGAGACAACTTTACTGTTGCTCCTAGCAGTGCATAAACAAGATTTTTTCTAAGGGGTTCAAAAAGGAAAAAGTTAAAAAATTAAAAGAGTTTATATATTGCATTCTCTCTCAACCAAAGGATCCAATAGCTATATAACAAGAATTAGTCTGGTACAAGAAGTATCCCCTTATTTAGGCTGGGTCCAGGGGAGGATCGTATGTATTTTAAGGGGGTATGATGTAGGCAGCATACCATGATGCAAGTACGAATAGCTGATTCTACTGCTCGAAACCGCGACTTATAAGTCACATGGAGACAATTTTACCGTTGCTCCTAACAGTGGTGGAGGCATAATTTTTGCTAAAGGGGTTCAAAAAAGAAAAAGTTAAAAATTAAAAGAGTTCACGTCCAACGGCAACGAGAATTGAACCGGGAACTTGACAAAAGTTTTAAAACCCCTTGACCACTTATATTTACATTATAATTTTCTAGCGAAGGGGGTTCGGGTGAAATTCCTTCCGCCCTTGGCTCCTAGGCTCCACTTCATATATAATGAATTAGCATCGGACGGATTCCATTGCTAAGCTAGTATGAAATCTTTTCTGCTGAAATATGGAGTTAAAATCAGTTCCATCAACTTTTAATCTCACTCTAAAAATCTGCAACAATAGCTAAAATAACAGAATAGCTTATACATGTCATGCCTTTCACGTCTCCCCCTTCTTAATACTACAGCTAAACGTAATTAATACTAAGCCTAATGGAATAAGATAATTAGTAAAGCATAATTAGTCCAGTGTAAGTGTAACTAATTAATAATCTATTTGGATCATCACCTATTCCTCCTCTTCACCAAGAATTGTACCAGTGTATTTCACATATTATCACCTGCACTTTATTCACTGTAATACTAAATTTAGAATTATTTTTTGTCAAAATAATGTAACTACACTTTACCTAGCTACTATAATAGTAAATCATAAAATTATTTTGTGACTTTATTATTATAATAGGTAAAATTTTGTGATATTATTGTTATAGTGGTAAAAATTCATTTACTTTGGTATGACGAAAAATATCTGTTTCCGTACGTCGGGTAAAGCACAATTACTTTGATATGATAAAAAAAAAAATTAAATAATTTTACTAGTACAGTAGATAATGTTCAGCAGCCGTATAAGAAATTAATCCTGAGCAAATTTAGGAGGTGGACAGAGAAAATTTGAAATATCAAGGACCGGAGAATTGGTTATTGAGAAACATGAAATTTTATAAATACAGTCAAATTTCTCTATAACAATCTCGTTTGTTCCGAAATTTTTTAGCTGTTATAATAAAATTTTGTTATAGAGGACACATATATCATAATATAATATAAATTAAATATATTAAAAAATTCTATATACGTGCATCCTCAACCAAACAATTATATGAGCAATAAATTAAAAAATTATATACAAGTAGAAAGAACCATTGTAAAGTAATTTACATGGATAAGTTCAACAATTTTTTAAGTAGTAAAAATCAATATTATTGTAGTATATAGTACTTGAATTTAAAATGATCGATTCAACACCGATTGAACCACATAGAGATGTGCAACTTTATCATATCTTGCCTACTATTTCTTTGTGAACAATATCTTGATGTATGTTCATTTAATTTTGTGTCACTTTAAGTGCTTTGTGGGACATAATTTTAACCAATTATGTTGATATCTCTTCTCGTGCGATTTCTTCTAATAAATCAGAATTATGACATGCAGATTCTTTATTCAATGTTATAGTCCAAGTGAAATTAGTATTACACAATCACTAATATTATGATTTCATCCTTTAGGGATAATTTCTTATAAAATTAATTTAGCTTTCAAAGGGCATAAAAGTCAAATAATATTTTGTGGATATTTTCGTTGTTCAATATTTAGTGTTCTTATATTCGTGCTTTTATAATAACTAGTATTTGGACACGCGCATTATGCGTATACTCCATATGAATTATTGACTATAAATTTTTTGAAACAATCATATAAATATTATAGAAACTAATTACAAAATTTACAAAAGTAAAGAAAAAGTGTACGTTTCTGCTGGAAAATATTTTAACCCCCAAAGTTCTAAAGTTGACACTTTAAACAAAAGAACTAAACATACAATCAAATAACGTAAAGGGCAACTACTGTTAATATTCTTTTGTGAATAATTAGTTGTAATTATTTGAAATAAAGCATATAAAGAGACATCAATTTCTCTTATATGTATGACAACACTCAATACTGAAATTGTTACTTTCATGAATTGCAAAATATCATTTAATGGGAGGTGGTTTTAATATTAGTTAGAGGGTAATTTGGCCATTCAGCTTTTGAAAGACATTTTAGTAAACTAACTTCACCTAAAAGTGTTCATGCTTATAATATAATATGATATAGAAGATAGATAAATAGATAGATAGACATTTTAGAAGAAGTAGGCGGTGGCCGGTGAGGAGTAGGGTCCAAAACGATAGAGTCCGAAAACGAATTTGACCCAAAATCGACTTTCTAGGTTTGGCGTATGTATAATTTAAATTGAAAAGAAATCCACCCTTAATTAATTTACAATTATATCCTTAATTTATACAAATATTTAAGGTCATAAAAGTCGATTAATATTTCGGGGATATTTTAGTCGTTCAATATTTAGACTAAATTATTCGAGCTTTTATAATAATACTAATCAATGGTACGCTCGTTGCGCGTGTATCTTGTCTAAATGAGTAAAAGCTTTTTAAAAATTATATAAATATTTTATTTAAAATTACTTTGAGTTATAAAAGTAAAATATGAGTTCTGAAAATAAAGAATATTGATTCTATATAACCAACTCAATAGGGGGAAACGGCCACATAAAAGTCCTCAATCATGGTCAATATATTGGAAAAAAAAAAACCATTCAATATACAAAGACTAAACTATACTAATTTATTATAAATAAATGATAAACTCAAGTAAAATTATGTATTAATTAACTATAATTTAGTAATAATAAAAAATAAAGACATGTGTCATAAATATAATATGTGCCGTAATATTATAAAGCATATAAGTTTTATGCTTAATTACCAGATTTATATATATAGCTACGAAAATGAAGTTCTTGTGTATATATAAATGAAACCATTTGCGTATTATATTTTATTTTTTTGGTATATTTTTTTTTTTGGTAATTAAAACTTTCATTTACCAGGGAAATATTTACAAGTAGATCAAAAACCCTTACATATTTTCCTACTTTCCTATGCTTCACCCCCTTATCACCTTTCTATTATTTACACATTTCCTATCTATTACATTGGATACCTGTCTAAACTATGTAGGATTTTCTCTGTATACTTATTACTTCGACAGTGAATCTCCTGTATTATCAGCTTGCATATTATCTCCCATCCTCTTGCCTTGGCTAGGAAAATTCGAACATTTCTTTCTTGCCACACATAATACACAATTGCTACTAATGCCATTTTATATAATTCGGTTGCTGCATTTTTTCTCTTAGTCCACTTCTCAGCCCATCTTAGTTCCTCCTCTCATCCATACACTGGTCTTTTGATCCCTTGTCATACTAACAGTTTACTCTACAATGCATTTGCACATGGACATTCGAAAAAGAGATGATGAATGGTTTCACTAGCTCATTTGCATAAGACACATTCTTGATCAACTTGTATTCCCCATCTCTGTAGTCTGTCTCTTGTGTACAGTTTGCCATGTGTTGTCATAGTTAATACAAAAATCCAGCTGGGGCATCCTGTATTATGACAAACAACTCTTCTCCAGCTTACTTTGTCAAATCTTTCTCGCAGTCTGTGATATATGTGTTTAACCAAACATTTGTTCATCCTTGTGATATCATCATAGCTGAATCCTGCATCCATAAATGTCTTCTTTGCTTTCATGATCTTGCTCACCATCCATGATGTTTGCTTCAGTTGGACTTCCCATATGTTCCTATCTTTGATGTAGTAGGTATGCATCTATTGTATCCAGAACTTCTTCTTTTCTTTGCAAAGGTTCCAGTACTGTTTACATATGGCAGCTTTGTTCCGGATAGTTATGTTCATGATATTAAATCCCTCTGCTGATTTGGGGAGACAGACTTTATCCCATGCCAATAGAGCCTTTTTTGACACATTGCCTTCTCCTGTCCATGAAAAACTTCTGCGTATTATATTTCTGTTTATATATTCTATTTGTATTATATAAAATTATTTTTATTATAAAGAACCTTGTGTATTATTTCTTTAGAGTTCTAGAATAATATGAAATAGTATTAGTTCAAAAGAACAAGGATCCTTTCCTATTTGAGGTAAAATCTCCGTTGGATTTAAACTCCTAAATATTAGGATCTAATTCAATAAGAAAAGATTTAATAACCAAAATTTAGTAGATTTTAAAGTTCTAAATATTAGAAAAATAATTGAAGTTATAATTTTATTCGATGTGAAATATGTTTTAAAGGGTGAAAAGATGAACAATATTTTACTAAAAGTGTTCATGCTTTTAATATAGTATATAGATAGATATAGATATCTAGCAAAATTATGATTTTGTCTAATGGAAGTCTAAGGGTAAAAACACAAATGACAATTTGCTAAGGGTTTTTGTTTTTTTNNTATATATATAATATACACACACGTGCACACAAAGAAAATTAATAAATACTATTTAACAAATATATTTGAATTATAAACTAATAAAGAAATAATTCAAGATGTTATTTAGTGATTCAGTGGGTTCAAATCATAATCTTTTCATAGTTTTATTAAACCAAATGACTTATGTAAG